ATGTCACTACGATTCTTAAATCTCTCAAACCAACCTTTGCTGGCCTTCAATTCACCAATTTGAGCACTAGTTCCAGGCATTTTTTCCTGTTCATCTGGGTGTAAGTCGATTGGTGTGGGTTGCATCCTGGGGGACAAGATTAAGGACCCCAATGGAAATAAGTTAGACAGTCCTCGATGACGCACTGACTTTCTTGGGTTATCCTGGGTGGCTAACCCTCTAGGGTTAATTGTTTCTTGGTAATTATTTCTTGTTAAGCCACACCAACATCTCTCTCTCCACATCTTCGAGCAGTACAGATGACGGTGGTGCAGCAGCAGCAGCAACTGACGGTGGTACAGCAGCAGCTGACGGTGGTACAGCAGCAGCTGACGGTGGTGCAGCAACAGCTGACGGTGGTGCAGTAGCAGCTGACAGTGGTGCAGCAACAGCTGACAGTGGTGCAGCAGCAGCTGACCGTGGTACAGCAGCAGCTGACAGTGGTGCAGCAGCAGCTGACAGTGGTGCAGCAGCAGCTGATGGTGGTGCAGCAACAGCTGATGGTGGTGCAGCAGCAGCAGCAGCAGCTGATGCCAAGCCCATGATGACACTCTTCAGGTTGCTTGTTCTATCTAGGCTGGAATATTGCTGCACACTAACAGCACCTTTCAAGGCAGGTGAAATTGCTGACCTAGAAAATGTACAGAGAACCTTCACGGCACACATAATGGAAATAAAACACCTCAATTACTGGGAGCGCTTGAAGTTCCTGAACCTGTACTCCCTGGAACGCAGGCAGGAGAGCTACATGATTATATACACCTAGAAAATCCTAGAGGGGCTAGTATTGAACTTGCACACGAAAATCACTCACAACGAAAGCAAAAGGCTCGGCAGACGATGCAACATCCCCCCAATGAAAAGCAGGGGTGTCACTAGCACGTTAAGGAACAACACAATAAGTGTCAGGAGCCCGAGACTGTTCAACTGCCTCCCAGCATACATAATGGGGATTACCAATAAACCCCTGGCTGTCTTCAAGCAGGCACTGGACAGGCACCTAAAGTCAGTACCTGACCAGCTGGGCTGTGGCTTGTATGTTGGATTGCGTGCAGCCAGCAGTAACAGCCTGGTTGATCAGGCTCTGATCCACCATAAGGCCTGGTCACAGACTGGGCCGCGGGGGCGTTGAGCCAAGGAACTCTCTCCAGGTCAAGGTCACAGCAGCAGGTGACGGTGATACAATAGTATTTTGATAGTATTTCTCACCCTTTTTACCACAAGGTTGGCACTAGAAGCTTTCTTTGGGCCCTTGGTGGCTTATGTAGCAGTTACAAGCACTAAAAACAATGGAATAATACAAAACGTATCGCATATATGCATGGAACCTTTCGCCCTGGCTTGTAAACAATGGCACACTAGCTGAAGGCAGGGCAGCTGAGGTGCTCAGGCTGGACGGACAGGCCGACGCGTTCAGGACGAATGTTGTTACCTGAGTTTTTCACTGTTGGTCGAGCCAATATTTTTACGCAGAAACGCATCGTTAGGCGATTTTATCGTTAGACAATGCCAGCATTGGTCGAGGGTCCACTGTATATGTAGAGCAGTATACAAGAATTTTTCTTACCTTTTGTGGTTTATAGATGCTCTTAATTCAAGTTTTTAACAGCAAAGGTCTCATAGAGGAACATTGTAAATCCAAGAAAATTGGAGACGAAATAATGATGTTATGCGAGCATGCACATAGACACTAACAAACCGGTTGGGGCTGCCAGTTATTGTCAGGTCTTGCTGCCCAGGATGAAGTCCAAACCGGTCAAACTTGCAATTAAGTGGAGTTGGTCCATTTTATCAAGGGTATAACTGGACCAACAGCCGTATGATACAGCGGATTTGGTCCACTTCATAGCTATTTTAATCAAACACCCCATTAAATGGACATACTCTGTTTGTCTGGCCACTTTTTTCATTTGATAAAAGTCTGTTTGATGACAATAATTTTTTTAACACATAGGCTGCTTCCCACTGAGGCAGAGTGACCCAAAAAGAAAGAAAAATCTTTCATCATGATTCAACACTTTCACCATCACTCATACATATCACTGACTTTGCAGAGGCACTCAAATACGACAGCTTAGACGTCCCTCCAAACTGCCAATATCCCAAACCCCTCTTTCAAAGTGCGGCATTGTGCTTCCCATTTCCAGGACTCAAGTCCGGCTAACCGGTTTCCCTGAATCACTTCACAAAATATTACCCTGCTCACACTCCAACAGCTCATCAGGTCCCAAAAACCATTCATCTCCATTCACTTCTAACACGCTCATGCATGCTTGCTGGAAGTTCAAGCCCCTAATCCACAAAACCTCCTTTACCCCTTCCCTCCAACCTTTTCAGGGACGACCCCTACCCCGCCTTCCTTCCCCCTACTTTGTTCCATTCTTTCTAAATGACCAAACCACCTCAACAGCCCTCCGACTAATACTTTCAGTAACACCACAGCTCCTAATTTCCACACTACGAGTTCTCTGCATAACATTTACACCACACTTTGCCCTTAGACACGGCATTACTGTCTCCAACCACCTCCTCGCTGCAGCATTTACAACCCATGCTTCACACCCATACTCTCATACACACCTATACTTTCATACATTCCCTTCTTTATATCCATGAATAATGTTCTTTGTCTCCACAGATACTTCAATGTACCACTCACCTTTTTGCCTTCATCAATTCTATGGTTTACCTCATCCTTCATAAACCCATCCGCTGAAAAGTCAACTCCCAAATATCTGAAAACATTCACTTCTTCCATATTCCCTCCCTCCAATGTGATATCCAATTTTTCTTTATCTAAATTGTTTGATACCCTCATCACCTTACTCTTATCTATGTTCATTTTCAACTTTCTACCTTTACACACCCTCTCAAACTCGTCCACTAACCTTTGCAACTTTTCTTTAGAATCCCCCAAGAGAATAGTATTATCAGCAAAAAGTAACTGTGTCAACTCCCATTTTGTATTTAATCCTACCCCTCTCCCCAGCACCCTAGCATTTACTTCTTTTACAACTCCATCTATAAATATGTTAAACAACCATGGTGACATTACACATCCCTGTCTAAGACCTACATTTACTGGAAAGTAATCTCTCTCTCTGTCTTACACATCCTAACTTGAGCCTCACTTTTTTTTTTTTTTTTTTTTTTCAACAAGTCGGCCGTCTCCCACCGAGGCAGGGTGACCCAAAAAAAAAAAGAAAGAAAATCCCCAAACAGAAAACACTTTCATCATCATTCAACACTTTCACCACACTCACACATTATCACTGCTTTTGCAGAGGTGCTCAGAATACAACAGTTTAGAAGCATATACGTATAGAGATACACAACATATCCCTCCAAACTGCCAATATCCCAAACCCCTCCTTTAAAGTGCAGGCATTGTACTTCCCATTTCCAGGACTCAAGTCCGACTATATGAAAATAACCGGTTTCCCTGAATCCCTTCACTAAATATTACCCTGCTCACACTCCAACAGATCGTCAGGTCCCAAGTATCATTCGTCTCCATTCACTCCTATCTAACACGCTCATGCACGCTTGCTGGAAGTCCAAGCCCCTCACCCACAAAACCTCCTTTACCCCCTCTTCCCAACCCTTTCGAGGACGACCCCTACCCCTCTTTCCTTCCCCTATAGATTTATATGCTTTCCATGTCATTCTACTTTGATCCATTCTCTCTAAATGACCAAACCACCTCAACTATCCTCATAAAAACTCTTTACAGCATTCAGCAACTTACTACCTATTCCATACACTTGCAACATCTGCCACACTGCTTCCCTATCCACTCTATCATATGCCTTTTCTAAATCCATAAATGCAAACAAAACTTCCTTACCTTTATCTAAATACTGTTCACATATATGTTTCAATGTAAACACCTGATCTACACCTTCCCTACCCATCCCAAAGCCTTCTTGCTCATCTACAATCCTGCTCTGTCTTACCTAAAATTCTTTCGATAATAACCCTACCATACACTTTACCTGGTATACTCAGTAAGCTTCTTTCAACTAGTCAGCCGTATCCCACCAAGGCAGGGTGGCCCAAAAAGAAAAACAAAAGTTTCTTTTTAAATTTAGTAATATATACAGGAGAAGGTGTTACTAGCACCTTGCACCCGGCATTTTAGTAGCCTCTTATGACACGCACGGTTTACGGGGGAAGAATTCTGTTCCACTTCCCCATGAAGACTCAGTAAGCTTATTCCCCCATAATTTTTTACAATTATAGGGGAATAAGCTTACTCAGTAAGCTTATTTCTCTATAATTTTACAATCTCTTTTGTCCTCCTTTCCTTTATAGAAAGACATTATACACGCAGAGAGCGTGTATAATAAAATTTATCAAGGGTAATATTTCAGCATCATGTGAGCGAGGGGCTAGTAACCCCGTCTCCTATGTACATTACTAAAGTTACAAAGAGAAACCTTTTTTTTTTTGGGGGGGGGGGGGGGGGCCACCCTGCTTTCGTGGGATATATCCAGTTTGTTGAAAGAAGAAGATTTCAGCATCATCTCCATGAGGAAGTGGAAAAGAATTCTTCCTCTGTAAGCCATGCATATCATAAGAGGCAACTAAAATGTCAGGAGCAAGGGGCTAGTAACCCCTTCTGTATAAATTACTAAATTTAAAAAGAAAAGCTTTCGTTGTAAGTTACCCTGCCTCGGTGGGCGACAGCCGGTGCATTGAAAAACAAAAAATCAGCATCAGAGTGCTTTTCATATTTTTACATGGATTTGGAAAAATAGTTGATATCATTTAAATTAAATTATCATCTCATTTCTGGTAATGACACACAATTTTAACCCTGCAAGGGTGGTCCCTCGCAACTACTAACACACAGCAACATCCTAGGCATGCAAGAATGCTGTTTATGTATAATTAATACACAAATTTTTCTTTATTAACACACAAAAATTAATAATAAAGGTTCTCATGAAAATCCAGAAAATGTAGAAAAGTTTAATCAATCATATTTCCATTTAACATTTTAAAACAAACCCATGCAAGTTTAACTAGGAGGGCTGATATGAGCAATATAAAACTTAATATTATGTATCGTTCCTGCTTAGCTAGATCTTCCTTCATCTGATTTCTCTTGTTGGAATCTGAAATATCTTGAGTGCTTAAAAAGCCAGAAATTTCACCTTTGGGAAGATATTCAGTCATAGCTGGGGAAATGGGCTTGGAGGTTTCAATGGGTCGTCCACGCATGTAGTGCTTCCCAGTTTCGATGATTTCCACTTCAACCAACTTTCCCAAAAAATCTTCATTTTTTGGAACTAATACCTAAAACAAAGAAAAGTCATTTTAGTGAACCACACAATGTAACTCATATTAGAAAAGAAAATGTCACAATACACAAATAAAATCCACTTAAGAGGCAAACTTGTGATGTTTTGGTCCAATTTGGACCATCAACAAGCCACACTGAAGTGAAACGGGAAGGCCACAGAATGTATAAGAGAGGGGCAGGGAAAGAGTGGTAGAATGGGAGGTAGTATTAGTAATTTTCCTTATTTTTAAGATCTGTGTACATACAATGTAGAGTTATGTACACCAAGAGGCATGGATCTGTGTATATACTTAATGTCTCTAAAAAAATACTACTTCACATTCTATCTGCTCAGAAATATTTTATATTGTATTCTTCATAGATTTCAGTATCTTGATTGATTCTGAATGTATGTAAAAAAATGGGGTGCTTTTAATGATACTACTATCCTAATAATTTCACAATAAAGAATTAAACAACTACAGTATTAACAAATCCTCAGACAGAGTATCATTATACTATATCACATGGCTTCTTCAGCTAGACTGAACAAACAAACAAAACATCTCCATGTTGTGGCTTAACCTAATGTTCCATTCAGACCCTTACAAGGATTTTGAAGAAATTTAAATAAATATGGGTGTAAATTAAATTGACTTTCAGACAAGCTGAGGTTTGAAACTCGGTCAGTGAGGTTTGAATCAATATTCACTTCGACCTACAATCATCAATATTATTGGTTCCTGGGCTATTAGACCCCATCATAAATACTCTATACCTCTTCCTTCTTTGCCTCATTCAACTTATTTTTGTTTATCACATCTCTCTCTCCCACCAAGATAGGATGACCCAAAAAAATGAAACATCCAACATCATTTATTAAATAGCTGTCATATGCGTATTGAAATTTCTATCTGTTTCATCTATAAAGTATACCATCTGTTTTTCCAAACACTGCTCCCCATGGAGAATACACACTTTCATCAACATTGTTCTTGAGTTTAGGTTTTACTTCTAATATTTTGATGTTATATATCTTTCTTCTTTCAATAAACTGGCCATATCCCACTGAGGCAGGGTGACCTAAAAAGAAAGCTTTTCTTTCTAAATTTAGTAATTTATATAGGAAAAGGGGTTACTAGGCCCTTGCTCCTGGGATTTTAGTCGCCTTCTACAACACACATGGCTTAGAGGAAGAATTCTGTTCCACTTTACCATGGAGATAAGAGGAAAAAGAAGAACTATTAAGAATACAGAAGAAAACCCAGATGGGTAAGTATATATATATATATATATGGGTGTGCATGCATGTGTAGTGTGACCTAAGTGTAAGTAGAAGTAGCAAGATATACCTAATATCCTATGTGTTTCTGAGACAGGAAAAAAAAGACACCAGCAATCCTACCATCATGTAAAACAATTACAGGTTTCCATTTCACACTCACTTGGCAGGATGGTAGTACCTCCCTGGGTGGTTGCTGTCTACCAATCCTACTACCTAGGACAGTTTATATATATGGCCTTCAATACAAGAGCAATACCTGTTCATAATATTTATTGTGGCCAACCCAATGCTCCTTATCATGAGCCTCTTCTGTTACAAGAACTGTTTGCTTTTCTCCCAGTTTATGGTCATATGGACGGTAGGACTGAAACACTTCTGTCAAACGTCTAGTGCGATTCTTCACCTGGAAAAGTAAAAAATGTCTGCATTAATTGTGGAAGTTTCACATATTATTGTACACAGAAAAGCTTTACAAGGAAAAACTGTGAAGAATACCAGTTTGTGTAATTTGTAGGCAATATTTACCCATGTTGAGTCCTTTGTCAGTAATCCATGTGTGTCATAAGAGGCGACTACAATGCCGGAAGCAAGGGGCTAGTAACCTCTTTTCCTGTATAAATTACAAAATTAAAAAAAAAAAAAAAAAAAAAAAAAAATTGTTTCTTCTTTTTCGGGCACCCTACCTCAGTAGGAGATGGCCAGTGTTAAAAAAAATTACCCATGTTTGCTGAAGAGCTGAAACAATGGACACTTACCTGGACTTAGCTCATTCAGAATTTCAGTTTACTGACCAACATCAACTAAAATATAATGATTCATATTTCACTCATTAATTAAAAATGTTGTTTAAAACTGAAGTACAGTGGACCCCCGCTTAACAATCACCTCCAAATGCGACCAATTATGTAAGTGTATTTATGTAAGTGCGTTTGTACGTGTATGTTTGGGGGTCTGAAATGGACTAATCTACTTCACAATATTCCTTATGGGAAAAAATTCGGTCAGTACTGGCACCTGAACATACTACTGGAATGAAAAAAGTTCGTTAACCGGGGGTCCACTGTATACACTTGCCAAAATAATTTTTTTTTTTTTTTCAACAAGTCGGCCTTCTCCCACCGATTGATTTTGTGTATCTCCTCATATTAGTACATGTATATGCCACAAGGCATATACATTTACAACTTATAAATACAGAAACAGCCATGGTTATCAAGCAAGTAGGTTGTGAAACAGAATTCAATGATCATTAAAACCGTGGATGTGGACCTTGCAGATCATGACGGAGTATATGTGAATTTGCTAAACTCAAAAAGACAGTCAGACACTCGCTCCTGCAACACACTGTTGAGTGAACCACCTGTGAAGTGCATCAACAAAATTTTGGTATTAGAGTGGTTTTAATGCTTTCACAGTATTGCATATTACAAATACTTCTTGACGTTCTGGTATCTTCAGTAGCCAAAAATATTATGTTATCTTTGTGCTTCTTTGTATTACAGTCTACACAGCACTCTTGCCAATACCATATCCATTACTTTTTCATATAGCATTCAGTTTTTCAACTGTATATGGGAAACCCATCCAAGGATATGGAAAATGAGAAGGTAACTCAAGCAGGGCACTGGAAAATGACAGGGAAACCCATCCAGGGTGATGGAAAATGACAAAAATCAGCCCAGGGCAACACAGTATGACAGGAGAAATCATCCAGAGCAATGGAGTTTAAGGTTCCTCTACCATACACCACCTACAGATTTATCTAGGCTGCTCCAAAATACATTTTTAATACAAAAGAAGATAGCAATCAAGTAAGAACAGTACTTTTGAATGAACATGACAGGGTAATAACACAATATAATATTACAGTGTAAATATGAGTAAAACAATGGGCCATTCCAGTAAGCATTGGATAATCAAACTTTTAACTTACCTCTTTCGTTGGAATTCTTTGCATTTTTGCTGCAGGAGTCCCCGGGCGAGGATAAAACTGGTTTATAAAGAGGGATGGGAACTTGTATTTGCTACAAAGTTTGACTGTTTCCTGAAAATCTTCTTCAGTTTCTGTTGGAAAGCCACAGATGATATCTGTTGCTATTGTAATACCAGGCACCCTGGAAAAAAGTAAACAAAAATAAATTTACCTTATTATACATAATGAAAAGAAAAACCAAAGAAAGAAGAGACTTCTTGTTAGACAAAATTCTGCTCAAGACAATTGTTACTGAGCCTATTAAAAGAAACAACATAAGTCTATGCTGTATATCTCACTGCAATGTGAATGAGCAGATGTATATGAATTCGGTGGGGCAAGGAAAATGTTGGTTTTGAGATAAGGGGAGTCAAGGGATGAATTGCATCTTGGTGCATCATGTTAATTAATTTGGCTACCCAATAGCAGTTTAGCAAGAGATGAAACAATGCAACATGGTTCAAGCCATTCCTTATCTATCTACATCAGTCCACATTAACTCTTCCACACCAAAACTACTATCTCCTCTCACATCATTCCAGGAGTGGTTGGACATATAAGCTCATCCTGAGCAAAAAATTTCACAACAAAGCCATGTTTTTGTACACTGTTTCTCATCACTTCAAAGAAAATAGAACTGAAAGTAAGCCATTTGTTTGACAAATATTATTAGGAAAAAAAATGCTGAAGTGAGGAGGAGGTTGTGTTGCTGTCAAATGAGTGGTGTGGATATTATGCAGAGAATTAGGAGCATGAAAATTAGAAGACAGTGTGGAGTTAAAAAAAAAAAATACAATTCAGAGGGCAGATTAAGGGGCAACTGAGGTGGTTTAGCCATTTAGAAAGGATGGAGCAAAATATTATTACAAAGGTGTATAAATCTGGGGTGGAAAGAAAGAGGGGATGGGGAAGAGTGGGAGGAAGAGGAAAGAAGTGAAGGAGGTTTTAGGTGAGGATACACCAGGCATGTGTGAGCATGTTTGATTGAAGTGCATGGAAACAAGTGGGTTTTTGGCATAATAATGGAATGTGAGCAAGGTAATATTTATGAAGGGATTCAGGGAAACTGATTAACAAGACTTGAGCTCTGGAGGTGGAAAATACAGTGCCTGCACCCCAAAGGAGGGGTGTGAATGTCACAGTTTGGAGGGTCATCTAAAATATGATCTCCATAAACTTCTGGCAAGACAGCTTTTAAATGAATGAGAGTGAATATTTCCTTTTTTTTTTGTCATCAAGATAAGTGGAAGATGGCTGATATGTTAAGATATACTACTGAATCACTAAAAACCACACTCAGTATATTGTAGTTAATATCATTATAACTACATGTACCTGCATAATTTTAGCATAACTGCATGGATTTCTTACTATACATGTTTTAGAGGATTTTATTGTTTCTCTTGCACTACGCCCTGAAACTCTTTTCTCTCGATTTTGCCATGAACATAATGTAAGTTTTCTATTTTTATATGCTGTACAATGTAATCATCAGTACTTTTATTAACCTCATTTGCTTACAAGTGCCAATACAGTATCCACCCACACACACACATACTTCCATATTTCAGTATATTTGCATCTTATAATGTATTTCTATATAAAAAGCACTGCATTTCTAAATGATTTAAAAAGCACTAAAACTCTTTGCTTATTCATAGCCTTGTACAAAAGATATTTCTGAAACCATTATCACTTTGGTGGTAGCATTAACAGCTTGCTGTTATATCGTAACCAATTTGCTGTAGATTATTTTGTGCTAGCAACATACAATCCAGTGTAAGCGCTACAGCCCAGATGATCACTAATGAGGACTCCTTCTTTCTTTCAACGCACCAGCCATATCCCACTGAGGTGGGGTGGCCCAAAAGGAAAAACGAAAGTTTCTCTTTTTAAATTTAGTAATATATACAGGAGAAGGGGTTACTAGCTCCTTGCTCCCAGCATTTTAGTCGCCTCTTATGACACGCATGGCTTACGGAGGAAGAATTCTGTTCCACTTCCCCATGGAGATAAGAGGAAATAAACAACAACAAGAACTAGAAAGAAAATAGAAGAAAACCCAGAGGGGTATGTATATATATGCTTGTACATGTATGTGTAGTGTGACCCAAGTGTAAGTAGAAGTAGCAAGACGTACCTGAAATCTTGCATGTTTATGAGACAGAAAAGACAGAAGGAGGGGTGTTAATGTTGCAGTTTAAAAACTGTAGCGTAAAGCACCCTTCTGGCAAGACAGTGATGGAGTGAATGATGGTGAAAGTTTTTCTTTTTCGGGCCACCCTGCCATGGTGGGAATCGGCCAGTGTGATAATAAAAAAAAAAAAAAAAAAGGACACCAGCAATCCTACCATCATGTACAACAATTACAGGTTTCCGTTTTACACTCACTTGGCAGGACGGTAGTACCTCCCTGGGTAGTTGCTGTCTACCAACCTACTACCTAGAACTAATGAGGACTATAATAATAAAAAAATTATTAGTTTGTCTAAATGCACATTTAAAAAGTAACATTTAAGAAACATATATAATGTTGAAGTTTTATGCTCTAGAGATTAAAAAATGCACCTTTGCACAAAAATGCCATACCTGCTCTTCAAAAAGTCGACCACTCTACAAAACTCATTAACTGTATACTCTCTTTTCATTTCCCCCAACACACCATCACTCCCAGATTGGACGGGTACATGCAGAAAGGCATAAACACGAGGGTGCTGCATAATCTTGGACATTTCCTGTAAAATGTAGAAATTTTGATATAGTACATCACAAAATCTATAGATGCCTTACTGATTTGAAAAATTTCACGTATTGAAAAACTATATAAGCTGAGTGTGAAATGTGTTGTGATACAGTACTTTTTTTTTTCAGATGATGTTATTTGATTATTTTAGGCTGACAAAATTAGAGGAAGTAGAAGATAATAGAATGGGTTGAAGAAAATCTTGGCATTATTTATCTGTTACAGCTTTGGATGTTGATGTGGTTAGGTATTTCTGAGGAGTCTGAGGTCACCTCTCTCACATTTTCACTCTCCTATTCCCTCTCTCACACTATATCTAACACAATACTATGGGTCCACATTCCTTTATCCGAAACCCTTGGGGACAGTAGTGTTTTGAATTTCAGAATGAAGGTGGTTTTCTAGGGCAGCACCCCATAATCAAACATTAACACTGCAGCAAAAATGTATGAATACTCACACTAAGTGGGATAAAAGACTACAAATACTACTACGGTTTATTTATAGAGTAATATATTGATAAATGAAATAACGGGATAATTATAGACCAGGAACATGACTCTCAAGACAACTGACAGACGGTGTTTTTAGACTCCTTCAAGTGTCAACTGTTTTATTAACATAGGTTTCTGTCTAAGTAATCTCTCTTTAACTGAGTAAATTGCTATAATCTTGCTCACTGATAAATGCACATTGTTCAAGGTCAGCAATTAACTGATCACACATTTTCACCATATCATCTATGGGAACTTTTTCACCTGTGTTCACAATACCATCATCATCACTACTATTCTCATGATTATTTGTATTTAACATCATTTCAGCAATTTTACCATCACTCAAGGAATGCACAACAGGTGCATCATTGTCAAGTTCAGCATTTCTTCGATGTCAGCTTTCTGCAACTCCATTACCACACAGACAAGATCTTCATTTTTTGCCCTATGCAGTGTTTTCCTATTTTTTATTAGTTATTGGCCATCACTCTCACTATAATACTTCAGTAACTTGTCTTTCTGTTTCTTGAAATCATAAACAGTGGTAGTTATAACACCATATTCTTCAGTAAGACGCTGCACTGACACACCACGGTCAGGCTTCTGCAGTAACTCTGCTTTCTGCGTTATTGATAACATCAGATGCTTCCTTTTCTTTTTCTCACTGTTACCCATAGGGGTATCTGCAGCTCTTTTTTGACATTTCACAGTGAAATTAAACACAATCACAAAATAAAAAGCAAAAACAAAATATCAGCGAATAGCAGATGCACCTGTGAACACTACAAGCGCTGAGACACAACTGGCAGTGTTGGAGTTATGTAGAGATGACTGACGCTCCACACTCCATGAAAAAACTTTGGTTTTTGGAACTTTTGAATTTCAGAATTTTGGATAAAGGAATGTGGATCCGTATTTACATATGCTCACCACTTCCTCACTGCTATTCACTTCCTCCTTCTCTTGCATTGTATCTAACTCCTAGCATATGCTCACTACTTCCTCACTGTTATGGTGAGGGTATTAGGTGTCTTAAGTATATATAGAGTGGGAACGTAGTGGAGAGGATAATTGTGTGCAAGGGTGCTGATGTGTCCGGTGTGTGGGCAGCAGGGGTAGCTACCACAGCCCAACACAACGTAATTATTGACTCTACAGTTCTTAACCAATCTCTACACAAAAAATATATATATATATATAAATTCTCCACACATGAATTAAAAGAACATACACAAAATTCTAATGCAATGTACTTGGTTAAAAACTGAGTTTTTTCTATAATTCTGCTCAAATGAAATAATAAATATTAAATTTATAATTCTTGACCAATCACTACCAAAGAAATTTAGCTCTTCATGAATACATAAAATGAACATACACAAAATATGAATGCATTTGGGAAAACTGAGAAAAATTATTTAAAATAAGTGACTCAATATTTGCAATAATCATAAATGCAGATCAGCATTCATAAGTAATTAACCAATTACAAAGTACTAAAATAATAATTGCAGAACAACATAAGTTGTGGACCTACCATACAAAATTTGCATTATTTGCCCCCCCCCCAAAAAAAAAAAAAATAAATAAATAAATAAATGCACAAAATTTTGGATATGAAGTACAGGCAAGCCCCACTTTACAGCACTTCACTTTACAGTTTCATTAATACAGCAGTTTTCAATTATACCCATTCTTCATTTATTCAGATTTCCTACAATATATATATTCACCACTCACTATAAGCTAAGTATGAAAATATTTGAAGGTAAGTAATGTGTGTGTACTGTATATGCATTTTTTAGAACTAGCTATATTGCTTACTTAATATATGATACTATAAGCTTGTTATCAGGCTTTTATATGCATTTGAAAATGAAAAAAAGGCTATGATTCACTTTACAACAGTAACCCATAGCTGTATAAACGAGGCCCTCCTGTAAATAGATTACATAGCTGTAACATCATCTGCCATATAAAAAATTGATATAGAAATACTGATAGTTAAGCACTAGAGCTGCGGACAACAACATATACAGATATAGACAGACATGCTTATGTAAATGAACAACAATTACAGTACCTCTAAATGATCCAAAATGTAAGGTGGGTTTGTCATTCCCAGTCTTAATCTACAACCTTCTGGTATGACCTCAACAAGCTGCCAGAGCAGCTCTGGCAAGGAAACACCAATGTCTCGTCCGTAAGCTCCAGTGTCCTCAGAAGTGAGCCACACTTCACAAACACCTTCACTGAATGACTGCTTTGCCCGAGCCACTATTTCTTCTGTCAATGGTAAAATGTCTGATTTTTTATAATTTACATATTTATTTTATTACCATATTGGAAGTGGTGAGTGGTGCGCTGAGGTATATGTGGAGACAAAAAAACATTATCTATGGAGGCAAAGAAGGGAATGTATGAAAGTATAGTGGTACCAACACTCTTATATAGGTGTGAAGCTTGGATTGTAAGTGCCGCAGCGAGGAGACGGTTGGAGGCAGTGGAGATGTCCTGTCTAAGGGCAATGTGTGGTGTAAATATTATGCAGAAAATTCGGAGTGTGGAAATTAGGAGAAGGTGTGGAGTTAATAAAAGTATTAGTCAAGAGGGCTGAAGAGGGGTTGTTGAGGTGGTTTGGTCATTTAGAGAGAATGGATCAAAGTAAATTGACATGGAGAGCGTATAAATCTGTAGGGGAAGGAAGGCGGGGTAGGGGTCATCCTCGAGAAGGTTGGAGGGAAGGGGTAAAGGAGGCTTTGTGGGCGAGGGGCTTGGGCTTCCAGCAAGCATGCATGAGTGTGTTAGATAGGAGTAAATGGAGATGAATGGTATTTGGGACCTGACGATCTGTTGGAGTGCGAGCAGGGTAATATTTAGTGAAGGGATTCAGGAAAACCGGTTATTTTTATATAGCCGGACTTTAGTCCTGGAAATGGGAAGTACAATGCCTGCACTTTAAAGGAGGGGTTTGGGATATTAGCAGTTTGGAGGGATATGTTGTGTATCTTTATACGTATATGCTTCTAAACTGTTGTATTCTGAGCACCTCTGCAAAAACAGTGATTATGTATGAGTGAGGTGAAAGTGTTGAATGATGATGAAAGTATTTTTTTGGGGGGGGAGGGATTTTCTTTCTTTTTGGGTCACCCTGCCTTGGTGGGAGACAGCCGACTTGTTACAAAAAAAAAAAAAAAAAAAAATTGGTAGCTTCCCACCAAGGCAAGGAAGGAAAAAGACACTCACATTCATTCAATAGCTGTCTGCAAAAACATTATTTTATTGCAAATTTTGATGACTCCGAGTGGTTTGAAGGATTTTCTGACATTTTTCAATTTTTAGCTAAAATATGTTTAAAAATCTGTTGGAGAGTGAGCAGGGTAATATTTAGTGAAGGGATTCAGGGAAACCGGTTATTTTTATATAGCTGAACTTGAGTCCTGGAAATGGGAAGTACAATGCCTGCATTCTAAAGGAGGGGTTCGGGATATTGGCAGTTTGGAGGATGTGTTGTGTATCTTTATACGTATATGCTTCTAAACTGTTGTTCTGAGCACCTCTGCAAAAACAGTGATTATGTGTGAGTGAGGTGAAAGTGTTGAATGATGATGAAAGTATTTTCTTTTTGGGGATTTTCTTTCTTTTTGGGTCACCCTGCTTCGGTGGGAGACGGCTGACTTGTTGAAAAAAAAAAAGCTTAAAAATCATTGTAAGCTTTAAGGTTGGCAAACATATGCACCACAACAAATGATTCTCTGAACTGCAACATCCCCAACCATTTATCTGAGCACAGGCATTGTCCTTCCCACCTTCAGAACTAAAGTTCTGTTTATATCCATACCAGAAAAATATCATATGGTACTTCTTTTCATATACAGTAGATTTCAAACCTGAAATGCTATCTCAAATAGTCTGATAAAGGTGTTATCATTCTAAGTGTTTTATCATTAGTATAAAAACTGAAGTGCAAATTACTGACTTGTTTTTATTAACTCAATGGCTGTCTCCAGCAAAGGTAGGGTAACCCAAATAAGAAAAGCCATTTACCATCATTCATTATATTGCTATTTTTACAGAAGTGTACTGTCATCACACTGATTTCCTTTTGAATGCAACCTCCCCACCCCTTCAGAGTGCAGGCACTGCCCTTCCCACTCCAGAATTCAAATCCGGCTAACCAGATTCATGGAGTCCTTCCATGAAAGTTACCTTGCTGATGCAAAAGACAGCAGAATATTGGACTGTAATGCTAAAAGAAATAACGAAGACTGCTAAGCAGAGCCTTTTGTGTTGCCAATATTTTTATTTTCAATATGAAATTATATAAATACACAATATTTATTCTTCTTTTTATTAAGACATCTTAATAGAATGGCTACCAATGATTCAGAATTTTTTTAAATAAAATTGCTGAAAAAAAATATTTATACAAAAAAACTCTAGTTGATGTGCTAAATAGTAACAGCACTGCTTGATCTAGAAAGTATATTATACAGTACTGTATTATTTTCTAGAGTCATAAGTTAAATATGCTATAATTAAAAAAAAATAGAGTAAATAAAGCAGTAAGAGAAATTTATGATAATGAAAAAAAAGGCAGGATGGCAGCAGTACAATGTTTAGTAGTATGATGCACACTATAGTGCTCCCTTGAATTTAAGAGAAAACAGTTCAATGGTCAAAAAAATTCAGATAATCACAGTAATTTGAGAGTATGAAAATTTACAAAATTAATATATGTACTCTTAGTTGCTTACTTTGTTTAGCAATTATATAATCCAAGACAACTTACCTATGGAGTACGATCCCAACTCTCCACGTGCATGTTTAGTTTTACAATATGAGCACTGATTTAAGCACCCGGTGTTGACGGATATAATTTCAATAAGAGGATTTCTTCTTACTTTGGGCAAGAGAAGTGAGGCTCCACCTTGTTTCTTGCCTGCCTGCTTCTTCTGACCCAGCATTCGCACGGAATTTCCTTCATCGCGAAAAAAAATAATTTGTATGGAAATGTCAGTACCCACTGATTCTTGAAGACAATGAGAATAAATTTGATAAAAAAAAAAAAAAAAAAAGATATTACAATACTGAAACACTAAGCAAATATTACAATGTTCAGAAAAATCTCCATGTACTGTTACAAGAGAAATAAGAATGCAATATAGAAAGTGAAGATTTTTTATTATTATAAAAAATCTTCACTTTCTATATTGAGGAATTTATTGAACATACAATATCAATCATGCTAAAAAGATGAATGATCATAATGAATAATGAATAGGCATTCAAATAAGATGAAAAATCTACATTTACTGTTTTATTCAGGATCAGGTGAATAACTTTACTGTAGTAGTTTCTAATAAGGTATCACTCATCTACAAAATACATACGTATGTTATACACACACACACAAATCTGGCGAGAAAACACACATTTTTTATTATGATTAAACCCACACACTGTGCTCGTGAAATCATGTGGGAATCAACTTGCTGTTCATGTGTTGTATAATCATCGATGCAGCAGCAGTTTCTCTGCCTTACACCCTTGACATCTGCAGGCCAATGTTAATGCACTCATTTGGGCGTTAAATTTTTGTTTATACATTTGTATGGGCACGGAAAGCATTACATGACACTTACAAGGCAAGTTACCACGGCAAGTCAAAACTTAAAAGGCAAAACCACTGAATACTATTAATGATCATAATAAATAGAGAAAGCCTGCAAAAACCTTTAAAATCATTATTTTGTTTTTAAAACTTGTTTATTGTTAAATACTCTTATTATATACAGTGAATTATGAAGCTCATACTGATATTCAATTTTCAGGTATTACCATGTACAGTATTGAAGCAGGATGCTGAACATCCTTACAAAGTAGTCAACATACAAGTTTATTCTCATCAAAATATATAATACATACTATGGTATCTCAATGCAAATTATTATTATTATTATTAATTTTTTTTTTTTTTTTTTATTATCACACTGGCCGATTCCCACCAAGGCAGGGTGGCCCGAAAAAGAAAAACTTTCACCATCATTCACTCCATCACTGTCTTGCCAGAAGGGTGCTTTACACTACAGTTTTTAAACTGCAACATTAACACCCCTCCTTCAGAGTGCAGGCACTGTACTTCCCATCTCCAGGACTCAAGTCCAGCCTGCCGGTTTCCCTGAACCCCTTCATAAATGTTACCTTGCTCACACTCCAACAGCACGTCAATTATTATTATTAATAAATTCATGAAGAAACCATAGGGGTCATACAGTGTGTAGGAACCAGGAGTAATCATATCCAATCCAAGGAAGGAGCAGATAAGTATGATTTCTTAAATCAAGAGCCATTAACCAACATCATGACACCTCCTTCCTAGAGTCATAAAAATTACTGAATATAACCTAAATCAATAAAATATTAGCCTTGTACATTATTCAAAGGTACAAGGCTAGGATTACCCTAATATAAAAACTTCAACAAAAATCAGTTTTTGGGTAGAGAGAATACAATAAGAGCAGGACTCACCCTTCAGGGTCTCCTCCACCACTTCCACAACACGGTCAATTTGTTGCACTCCTATGATGCTCAAACCTTCAAGAAATTCTGAACGTGGAGCCGCTGACAAATATAAAAATGAAATAAGTACAATATACATTATTGTTTCAATTCATGAAGCTGACATTTTAGTCATAGACATGACTGTCTATGACTAATACATTTACCAGCTATCTCTTATCTATAAGATATATCACAATAGTTCCCTATTTAGCAACAGATCCCTTAACGTAAATTTCTTTAGCAAAAGGTCATTTCATTTTTCTCAGCAACAAATAATAAATCAGAGAACGATACTGCATTATGAGCAACATCACCAAAACAATACGAGTCCTTGCACGTACACCAAAGTACCTCATACACATAGAAATATGCAATTAATACAAACAACTTTGAAAATCTATAAGCTCTGTCTCGTGTAGCTCCCTCCTTCCCTTCACCACTATGCTCTATGATAACACCAAACACCAGTACACCTCTTCTCTTGCCAAAAGAGAAGACAAGCAGCACAACAGGCCAGTGTTCTTTTAACTTCACTATTTTGGGAGGATGACATATATAAACCATGCTCTTCATTTACTTGATACCTAGGTATCTAATATAGGAATATGTTGTTCTTTTACATGATGCTACACTGAACTCTGAGGATCAGTCTTCAGTCTAGTAACTAATTTTTTTCAAGAAAGCATGTCTACTTAATGTGGCACACATTACAATAAATGTTAAATGCATATGAAAGTGGAGGAACTAACTGTTCTCTTATGAAATACTAGAAAAAAAATTCTAATAACACACACACACACACACACACAAAACACTACACATAAATGAAAAAAAACAAGGGAGAGTAAACTGAACTGTTTTGTGTGGTAGGGACTTTAGTATAAAGCAGGTGTGTGTGTGTGTGTGTGTGTGTGTGTGTGTGTGTGTGTGTGTGTGTGTGTGTGTGTGTGTGTGTGTGTGTGTGTGTGTGTGTGTGTGTGTGTGTGTGTGTGTGTGTGTGTGTTTGTTTGTTTGTTTTACATGGGAATAGAGGCAGGTGGTTTTTGAAACTTGTGCTGCTGAAGAGAGAGCCAGGTAACATTTATATAAGGATTCACTGATAATGGTTCTTCTTCTTTCAACAAACCGGCTGTATCCCACTGAGTAATTTATACAGGAAAAGGGGTTACTAGCCCCTTGCTCCTGGCATTTTAGTTGTCTCTTATGGCATGTATGGCTTACAGAGGAAGAATTCTGTTCCCCTTCCCCATAGAGATAAGTGGAAATAAACAAGAAGAACTAGTAAGAAACAGAAGAAAACTCAGAGGGGTGTGTATATATATGCTTGTACATCTATGTGTAGTGTCACATAAATGTAAGTAGAAGTAGTAAGACGTACCTGAAATCTTGCATGTTTATGAGACAGAGAAAAGACACCAGCAAGCCTACCATCATGTAAAACAATTACAGGCTTCAGTTTTACACTCACTTAGCAGGACGGTAGTACCTCCCTGGGTGGTTGCTGTCTACCAGCCTAGTAATTGACAATGGTTATCTAGACTTAAGTTCTGGAGTTGGAAAGTACAGTGCCAGCACTCTGAATAGTTGGTACAAATGTTGCTGTTTGGATGGTCACATTGTGATCTATGCACACTTTTGGCAAGACAGCTATTGAATGAGTGATGATAAAGGTATTTCTTAACTTAGGTTCCCTTATTTTGGTAGAAACAGTCAATGTGGTGAAAGAAAATATTTTACATATTGCACAGTTCTGATTCAAAAGGCAAAATCCTGTTTAATACATCAAATCTACTTAGTCATGAAAATTATACAAGAAATGGTTAAACAGATTTCATTTATTTGGATAACAAGAAAGCATTCCAAAAGCTTTGAAAGAGAAAAGGTCCTCCTGGAAAAATGTCACCCATGGAGTCCCACACAGCAAAGTAGTGTGGTTTCCATAATGTGTGGTGTGAATATAATGCAGAGAATTCGTAGTTTGGAAGTTAGGAGGAGGTGCGGGATTACCAAAACTGTTGTCCAGAGGGCTGAGGAAGGGTTGTTGAGGTGGTTCGGACATGTAGAGAGAATGGAGCGAAACAGAATGACTTCAAGAGTGTATCAGTCTGTAGTGGAAGGAAGGCGGGGTAGGGGTCGGCCTAGGAAAGGTTGGAGGGAGGGGGTAAAGGAGGTTTTGTGTGCGAGGGGCTTGGACTTCCAGCGGGCATGCGTGAGCATGTTTGATAGGAGTGAATGGAGACAAATGGTTTTTAATACTTGACGTGCTGTTGGAGTGTGAGCAAAGTAACATTTATGAAGGGATTCAGGGAAACCGGCAGGCCGGACTTGAGTCCTGGAGATGGGAAGTACAGTGCCTGCACTATGAAGGAGGAGTGTTAATGTTGCAGTTTAAAAACTGTAGTGTAAAGCACCCTTCTGGCAAGACAGTGATGGAGTGAATGATGGTGAAAGTTTTTCTTTTTCGGGCCACCCTGCCTTGATGGGAATCGGCCAGTGTGTTAATAAAAAAAAAAAAAAATATTTATCACAAGGAATAGAAAAAGCCTCAACATACGTATGGAAAAAACTGGAATTTGTAGTGTTAGTGGCGTTTTGACCAAACACTTTCTTATAAGTTATAATCAGTTCAGAGAGACAGTACAAAATAACGCCAAAGATGAAAAATACTGTGTAGCTGCATAATTTGTACTTACCTTGAGAGACACATCCAGCTACCACCACCTTCTTACCAGCTTCTCTCCCAGCTTTGATCTCATTTCGAAAATGGTCCTCGGCTGGATTCTTCACTGTACAGCTGTTCAGTACCCATACATCAGCATCAAACTTTTCATCTACAGAAAAAAATGAAATTTCATGCACTTTTTTTTTAATTTATATACCCAATATTTACTACCATCATTAACGATTTCTTTTTTATTTTATTTTTGGATAAACTTAGGTCCACCCTTAGTGTACAGCTACCCTATTTTATATGATAGCTATTTTGTGGGAACAAAAGCTAGCTGTTTCCATCTTATATTCAGTCACAGGATGGATTATATACATAAGTAATAAAAATCTGTCAGTCTGAAATGATAAAGTCTCACCTTTCCTACTGATGTGTATTCATCTAAAGTAGAAGAGTCTATACAAATATGTACATATATAATGGCAGTGGACTAAAACTACTGCAATTCTATACAATCTACCTTCATGGAAGATGACCAATGTGGTAAAAAATATATCCCCAACCTTTAACATAATTTTTTTATGAATGAAGACAAGTTATGATTGCTATCATACACTAATAATAAAACAAAGCTGATGTTCTATTTGTTTCCAACGCTAATTATGTAAATCCTACAATAACAGGAATCCATGATTCAGGTAAATTAATGTCTGCTAACTAATACACAAAATGATGAAAAATACAGTGTGCAAGTACTACTATACTGTATATGTCATTGAGAAATTACTTCCATAACATGACATTTGTATACAGTACTTGCATTACAGTCTGTTCCACAAAGCTACAGAAAACAAAAAACAATTTTTTTACATTTTACAGCTCACTTAAAATGGTAACCTCAATTCTGAGTTTTCAAACTACAATACAAGAAAAATTAAATAACAGAAAATAAGATAAATCAATAAATGACTAACCAACAATTTTGTATCCATATGCTGCCAGTTGGCCAGCCATGTATTCACTGTCGGAGCTGTTGTGTGCACATCCCCATGTTTTAAGGTATACCTTCTGGGTGCCTGGGATGATACTTGTACACTGACTCTCACACTCAGGCTCTTCTATAGCCTGATAATAATAAAAAGATGGCGATGGGAAGTACAGTTTCTGCACTCTGAAGGAAAGGTGTTAATGTTACAGTTTTATAACTGTAGTGTAAGCGCGCCTCTGGCAAGACAGTGATAGAGTGAATGATGATAAAAGTTTTTCTTTGTCGGGCCACCCTGCCTTGGTGGGAGACGACTGATGTGTTAATAATAAAAAAATATATACATACTATATACATATCTTCAGCAAATATAATGTTTTTACATGCATTATAGTATTGTATATGCAGTATACAGTATATACCATGTACAGTATCTCAATATACAATGTATATCCCATTGAAAAACTGAAAACCAAGCATCTCAATAACCTTCCATAAACATACTTAAATATTATACTCTCCTTAAATTCACATAAATTATTTTAATGTAATCTACAGAACCAAATACAATGAAATAATTACTCAAAGAATTCACATACAGAATGTTAAGCAAGTCAAATATCCTACCAACCTCTTCAGAAGGGAGTACCTTTCTGCGCCTCACTCTTGGCATCACAGAGTTACGTGACCGTGGAGCTATCAAGTCTGCCCCTTCACGTACTAAATCTTCTATGTCTTCCATTTTTGCTTATATATTTCCTGAGAACAAATCAGTAAAGACAATCTTTAGGTAGACAAGATATAAAATACCTAAGTACAACAAAGGTTTAGTAATTTATTCTAAAAACTATGTATGTTTAAAAAAATCCAAAACTGAATAACTGAAATAAAATATATCTGTTCTTCCATTTAAGGACTCAAGTCCGGCTAACCTGTTTCCCTGAACCCCTTCACAAAATATTACCTTGCTCACATTCCAACAACTCCCATAGTACAGTCTTTGACCATGGCTCAGAAATTGGAAAGGAAATATTACAGGAATAAGAACTACTGTACTAAGACACACAAACAGGAAAGTAAAGTGTACACAAAAAAAATCTGCAGGATTTACTTTATTTATTATTAACACATCGGCCGTCTCCCACCAAGATGGGGTAGCCCAAAAAAGAAAAACTTTCATCATCATTCACTCTATCACTCCAATACTGAAACTATGTACTGTGCCAAAACAAAAGCATTCACATTGCTAAACTCACAAACTAGTATTTAGTCACTTAGCCATAATACCAACTTACCTCATAATTTGTAATATTTTAAAATTAAGAATTAAACTAAGTATGCCCGAAATGTCTAGCCATGCTAGGTGTTCTAGTGGTACACTCTGTAATCATTATTTTACTACATGTAAACCACACAATAACCAAATTCTGTAAACTCAGTATTGTAATCCTTATAGAGAATAAACTTTGAATTGAATTGAATCACTGTCTTGCCAGAGGCACACTTACACTACAGTTATAAAACTGCAACATTAGCAGGATTTATCTGCCATCTTATATATTCATGAGAGAAAGAAATATCCAGCAATCCTGCTGGAGTACAAGAATAGCAGGCTTCCATTTCAAACTTACCAAATATGGTTCACTATACATGGGTTTCTAAACCATTATAGTTATACTATAGTTACAATCAAAACATAATAGATATATTTTTTTATATATTTAAATCAGGAGAAGCAATAAACCCATAGGGGTCATAGAGGAGAATGAGGGGCATTCAGGTTCAATCCAAGGAAGGAAAGCTGATAAGTTCAGTTCACTTAATCAAGAGCTACCTCACTGGCATCCTCCCTGATGGATATACAGTGTAATAGGTATGCTGTGGTAGAAAATTATGTTATGTGTACAGGTACACATGAATAGTTACATAAATTATCATATATAGCAGCATATGTGTAGATTACCTAGGATAACCCAAAAAAGTCAAAGTGACTTATTTTCATTGGGGTTCTCTAGGTTTAATCAGTGCACAAGTCAAAACGTTGAGCAAGTTTCCCTACACCTGCTGCCCCTGTTCACCTAGCAGTAAGTAGGTACCTGGATGATAGCCCGGTGTTGTGGGTCGCATTTTAAGGAAGAGGATCAAATGAGTTCTATGGAAATAAGCCAGACATAGTAGCTTTATCGGGTTATCCCGAGTTAAAATGAGTTAGTCATCCGAATTAAATCTACCTTTTTTAAGATGGGTAGAGGTGCATAAGAAGGTTATTTAAGAAATGATGCATGCCCGTAGGGGTCATAAAGTAATGTCATATAAATGTATTACTCACTCTAAAATCTATAAACTTGAATGTAAAAATAGTGATGTGAGGCAGGAAGGTTGTCCAGCTTCTTGTTGGGTTTGTAAGGACCACTGACAACTTGCCTCATATTGAATCCTGCTTCAGATAAACGGAGGCAGACACTTGAGTGACTTTTAACAACCCCAACAAAAAAAAAAAAAAGACTCTTTGGTTGCTCTTACTAACCTCAGTAACAAAAACAGCTCAGCTGGTTGTGTATTAAAGTATTTGTGGCTGCAGCACCAGCTTTCGTTGAGTGAAGATGTCTCACTTTTGCCTGAGCATTAGTAACAAATTATACCTGGGTTATCTACATATATGCTGCTATGTATGGTAATCTATGTAACTGTATTTGTGTATGCCTGAATGAGGACGCTTGTCCTCAACTATTCTGCCGGTACGTTATATGATGCCTTAGTGAGAGACCCGCCTGGCCTACTTGAGAACTTTGTTTCTATTTTTGTTTGTAAAGAGAACTCTTTATTCCTTGTCTCAAATCGCCCAGGCTTGAGCTATATCTTTCCTGCGTACATTGAAAAGTAAGGATCGATACACAAATAACCCGCACATAGAAGAGAGGAGCCTACGACGACGTTTCGGTCCGACTTGGACCATTTATAAAGTCACTGTAATTTTGTAAATGGTCCAAGTCGGCCCGAAACGTCATTGTAAGCTCCTCTCTTCTATGTGCGGGTTATTTGTGTATCGTTCCAGTCACGGTATTGTGCTTTTATTTCTTTTTTGTTATTTAATGATCGATACGGTGTTAGCTCTCAGTAGCCATTACAAATCCAACACGAGCCGGGTACTGAAATCAGGTGAAATGTGAGCGCCTCGCTCTGGTGGGGCTTGGCAAGTGGTCCACCTGATCTAATTGGGAACTTCTCGTTTCTGCTTCTGTTTACAAGGGAACTCCCGGTCCCTTTTCTTTCATCGCTCAGCTTTGGGCAATATCTCTTCCCGGTACACCGGGAGTAGAGCTCGATACCGTGTAAGCTGTCAGTGGCTCTTATAAACAACAACAACACGAGCCGGAGAAAGAAAGGGAATAAACAAAAAAAAGATAAGAGATAAGATTTCGCTCGGATTTTTAACCCCGCAGGGTTAGCCACCCAGGATAACCCAAGAAAGGCAGTGCGTCATCGAGGACTGTCTGTCTTATTTCCACTGGGGTCCTCAATCTTGTCCCCCCAGGATGCGACCCACACCAGTCCCCCCAGGATGCGACCCACACCAGTCGACTAACACCCAGGTACCTACTTGCTGCTAGGTGAACAGGACAACAGGTATAAGGAAACGCGTTGAAATGTTTCTACCCCACTGGGAATCGAACCCGAGCCCTCCGTGTGTGAAGCAAGAGCTTTGCCAGCCAGGCCACGGGGTCACCTATATATTATAAATTCAGGGATGTCACTCAGAAATGTTAAAGTGGCATATTACCAACCATTCTGAAAAAAATACCCTGACTTGCCCACTGTAAATAATGCTTATCCACTCAAACCTTTCCTTTTACATGCATACCGTGCTAAAATATAAGGTAATATTTTTTTGTAATATTTTTGTGCCTAACTCATGTATGAAAATAATTTGTTACGTTACAGATGTAAATATGTAAATAGCTCATTACCACTGTAAGTTCTGCAGCATGTTTAATCATCAAAACTGTGGCCTAGTCCCAGGACTCATTATGTGCCTCTAATCTTCTGACTATGGTCCACAGGATTGGTATGGAGCTCATAATAAAGATATTAAACTGTCGTAAACCAGCTTGATGGTCTCTTAATAAAGGTTTCACCCCAAACAGTTTCCAATTATTAGATGTATCCAGGAAAGGAACTAAAACCCAACTAAAAGCAACAGACTAGATAACTAATTTACACATACATGTATGCTACTATATATAATAATTGTAATACCTAAGTTCGTGTAACTGTATGTATGTATACCTGTACCTAAATAAACTTGCTTAATACAGAGGTGTATTAGAATTAATAACTGGGTTCCCAGTTTGCAAATTGAGTTATTTCCCACACTTGCTCTCAGGCTTGTAAGCCCAGGCTTTAAATATTTCTGGTAGTAGTAGGATTTTTCAAGGTGCAGTGTGGACAGAGACAGGGCCATACATGGATTCACTATATCTTAGTGTCCAAACATCCAACCTTTCAGAGACACCTCCATGCAAACTTAGCAGGATATGGCAAAACATTTCATTGTTAATACTAAGATATTTGAAATCTTGAGATTGTATCCACAGTTTGCATCACCAAAATGAATGAACTGTTATTATAGAGATTGCGACCCAGCTATGACTAATTTTTTTCTTTTTTTCGGTGGTAATAAAATATCAATGTTTTTAGGATTGTATCTCATACTGTATTATTTACATCCACTGTATGATGTAATCGTAAAATATAAAATGATTAATATTTCTTTCTAGTGATGTAATAATGTTCAGTGGGGTCTGATATAGACCCATTGTGACCTCTGTAATCTTGTTTTTTGTGCTACCACTCATAGGATGGGCATGGAAGGCACAGTAAACTTGCCACTCAGGCAGTACAACAAAAAACTAACAACTTGGCAATATCTAAATACCATTAATAACACAGAACATTATTTTCATCTGGCAGAGACAGGAGCACTAGGACGCTGATTCCCACAAACAACTGCAGTGACAACAGACATCTCTGAACGAATACAACTAATCATTCCACATCACAACTCATGCAGTCATTGGGAGAAGAAACCTCTAAGCAAGCCATACATATACTGAAGAAGGAGAAGAGAAAATGAAAATTCAGTACTGATAATCAAAGCAGGTACTGTATGACATCTATGGGTTTAGCACTTCCCCATGATTATAATATTAATGATAATTTTGAGGTGATATTGAGTAACTATTCATAACAACTGTAAGGATTTACATTGTGAAGTCCCTCACACTTCTGACAAAATGTAAAATAAAATAGTTGGGTATTCTAGGTTCAATTTTAATAATTAATCACCACTGCATAGCTGAGAGTTATTTCTCTAGATTGTCACACCTAAGAGGACTTAAGATTGAATCTTCACTACAAGGCAGGACATATGGCCAAGTCTACCACCTACTGCCCCTGCTCACTTAACATTAAATAGGATATAGGAAAGTACTGGTTTGGTAATAGAGTTGTGGATAAGTGGAACAAACTCCCAAGTACCATCATAGAAGTTAAGAGGTTGTGTAGTTTTAAAAATAGGTTAGATAAATGAGTGGGTGTGAGTTAGACCTGGCTAGCTTGTGCTACTAGGTCAGGTGTCGTGCTCCTTCCTTAAGTGAATGTGACCTGACCTGACTAGGTTAAGGCATTGGCTTAAGCTGGTGGGAGAGTTGGACCTGACTTGCATGGGCCAGTAAGCCTGATGCAGTGTTCCTTCTTTCTTATGTTCTTGCTTATGTTCTTATGATACTGAAATTTACTTGACTGTTGTGGGTTGCATCCAGGGGGAGAACCTAAAAGGAACCAGTGCTTGGCTTTTTTGGGTTATCTTAGTTTATTAGCCTTCAGGGCTAATAGCCTGAATAACACCTTCTTCAGTATATATGTATAAGTAATTTCTATTAAGAACTGAAAAAAATTCAGTATTGTAAATGCTAAGTACACTATATAAATACAGTGGACCCCCGGTTAACGATATTTTTTCATTCCAGAAGTATGTTCAGGTGCCAGTACTGACCGAATTTGTTCCCATAAGGAATATTGTGAAGTAGATTAGTCCATTTCAGACCCCCAAACATACACGTACAAATGCACTTACATAAATACACTTACATAATTGGTCGCATTGGGAGGTGATCGTTAAGCGGGGGTCCACTGTACTACTGTATATACATACAAGGGTGACATTTTATATTGACTTAACCTTGGATATTCCTACAATTACTCTAAAGGATTTAAATCCATCAAGGTCTCTTATTTTATTTATACTTTTCATGAGTTTTCTAATATTGAGTTTTATTTGGCAGGAAGAGATGGGTGCCTTCCCACTTTAGTCTTCAACAAGATGTTTATCTCTGATTTTGATGTCACAAAAGAGAGATTCTACGTAGCCCATCAGAATAAAGACTTGACTTCCATCGTTATCGTCAAAAATCATGTTTCCTAAATCATGGATGCCTAAAGGGAATGAGTAATAATGTCAAGATACTTTGTTAAAAATATTTAAAAGGCTTCAATGATGATGACATTGACTAGGTTAGTCACCCTAGTAGCTGAAACCAGTAGATGTTCATTTGTTAAAATTATTAGATATAAAGACAATTGGAAATCAAGACTGGCTTGGTGTACTAGGAGTATTTATAATGAATCAAAAGCCAAAAAGAGCTTCTTCATTACAACCCCAATATTTTATGTGAATGCACAGCCGCACATTGGTCATCTTTACTCAGCACTTTTAGCTGATGCTGCATGCAGGTTTCAGCATCTGCAAGGAATTCCTGCACACTCAACAATCTTCTCTACAGGTACAGATGAACATGGTTTAAAAATTCAGCAGGCTGCTGCTCTAAGTGGATGCAACCCATTAAAATTTTGTACAAGTGTTTCTGATAAATTTAAAACTGTCTTTGACCTGGGGGATATCAAGTATACACATTACATTCGTACAGTAGAAGAGAGGCATAAATATGCAGTGGCACATTTTTTTAATACGTTAATGGAGAGGGGCCACATATATCGTGGTAACTACAGTGGATGGTATTGTGTTGCAGATGAGGCATTTCTCACAGAAGCACAAGTGCAAGAAGTAACTTTGTCATCTGGTGAGAAAAAGCTTGTGAGTGCTGAGAGTGGTCACTTGGTTGAGTGGAACAGTGAGGAGAATTACATGTTTAGGTTATCAAAGTTCCAGAGTGATTTAAATCACTGGCTGAAAGATGACAAGAGGGTGCAACCAAAGCGATTTCATGAACAGTTAAAGAGATGGCTAAATGAAGACCTTAAAGATCTCTCGATATCTCGACCAGGTGCCCGCGTTTCCTGGGGTATTCCAGTTCCGGGTGATAACCTGCAAACAATTTATGTTTGGGTGGATGCCTTGATCAACTACCTCACAGTATCAGGCTACCCTGAATTACGTTTATGGCCACCTGATATTCAGGTACTCGGCAAAGACATATTACGCTTCCATGGTGTCTACTGGCCTGCACTTTTACTTGGCATAGGATTGGAACCCCCTCGTTCTCTCATTTGTCATTCCCACTGGACAGTTGAAGGAGAAAAAATGAGCAAGTCACTTGGGAATGTAGTGTGTCCTCAGGACCTCATTAAGCGTTTTTCAGCTGATGGACTTCGGTATATGTTGCTGAGATTGGGAACACCACATTCTGACAACAATTGGAGTGAATCAAATGCAGTAAATCTTTTAAATATAGAACTAGCAGACACACTGGGAAATCTTCTGAATCGTTGCACAGCTCCATCTCTCAATCCAAATCAGCAAGTCCCCCCTCTAAACTTTCAGTATCTTAAAGAAATGCCTTTAGCAGGACAGAAACTGGTAGAACAGCTAGTTGATCTGCCTAGTGCTGTAGAAAAACACTACTATAATTTCAACTTCTATCATGGTTTAGAAATTGTAATGGCAGTGGTTCGTCAAGCTAATGTATTTATTCAAGAAGAAAAGCCATGGGAGTTGAAAGACCTTCCTGATCGCACTAAATTAGACTCAATATTGAGAGTTGCTCTGGAGACTGTGCGTATTGCTGGTGTGGCTTTACAGCCAATTGTGCCAACATTAGCATCTCAGGTTCTAGATACTTTAGGAGTTCCATTGAATAAGAGATCTTGGAACAGTGTACAAGAAGGATTTAATGATTCCCAGCATAGTCACTTGATGAGTTCTTTGAACTTGGGACCCCGAAAAAAACTATTCACTAAAATACAACAGTAAATAGTTGAATTATTCTGTTGCTTTTAATAAATCAAATACTATATAGTACAGTACAATATTTAATTTTTCCTTTATGGATATCTGTTAAACTACATTGTATAATGTATGTACTATATTTTTTTTACCTCTACTTGTTTATAATTGCAGGAATGGAGCTTATGCTCATGGTATAATATTTATAATAATTTTGTTGTGTATTTATTAAAGTTTCTAGTAGTTGCAACATTTGTCGTTTGATTCTATTCCTATTTCCTCTCTCCATCTGAAAAGAAATGTTTTTAAATGTCCCTTCTGCAGTTTTTAATAACTCATTGAGTATTTCCCACCAAGGTATGGTGAATCATATATGGAAACCCATTTATTATTGCTCTAAAGATTCCCTAATTGTTGTTCTAGAAGTTTCATGGCCCCCTAACTCAGTGGGGTCTGTAGTCTGTGCCTAGGGGTATGGGCCTCTTCTCTGGTAAGGGTGCCAATCTTCCCACAGGATGCTTGCCTGAATAAGAACCCAGCATCTCTTTTGGTGTAAATGGTGGAAATATTTCCCCTTTTGTTTAAATCTGACCACATTCCTGGCCAGTGACATGGAATGTCTTATGGACATGGATTGTGGAATGTAAAAAATAAATTTTGAATAGTTTTTCTTCCACTGTGATTATGATTTTTATGTAATGTGAGAGTGAACTGGTCACAACAGTAGTAGGTTAAGTGAAAATTTGTTATTTAATGTTAGAAACAGAATATGTTAAAAGCGCTGAATAACCAAAAGGGTCTAGTACTTTGTAAATACAAAAGAACAAAAAACCCTTGCTAGTATACTATCATTGGTTATTTTTTATTAAAGTAATAAAAAATTGGTTGGCGTGTCTCCATGCATGGCACAAGGATGCAGAGTTCTGTTAGTGCCTGGGCCATGCTGGTGTCCTGTGAAATAATGGGTGGATGCCAAGCCAAAGGCTGTGTAGCATGCTATGAGTATGTTACATTTTATTCGGAGTATGTCACACTCCAATATAGGCTGCCTCCCAACCAGTGAACCAGGTGCTAAGGATACTACAGGGATCATTGGGGCCCTGTCGTTATATCAGTACCTTGGTTCATCGGTCAATCACAGACAAACTCGCCAAAGTTGCAAAGCAATGTGGTTCACTTGTGAAGCAAGCACTGGCAGACTTGACTGGGCTGCTGGTCGAACACAATGCATTCTCTGGCTCTTGCATTTTTGCCTCCTTTGTTCACTGTTTTGTACACTTACTCTTATATTACTGCATATAGTGTACATACTGTAAACACCAGCTTGTCTATTTGGTGAAGGAAATACAAGTCATATACTGTTGTTGAGTTTTGAGTGCTCCACTTTGATCCCATTACAACCAGGTGCACAAGCCATACTACACCTGTGTTTGTAATAGGCTGTAAGAACAAACCCACTCTACAGTAGACCTTTGCCTTACAGTGACTTTATGAGCTATATCGACAGATATGTCCTTGAAAAGTGGTAGGCCCGGTGGGTCCTACAGACTGGAGTTTACCTGGAGAGAGTTCCGGGGGTCAACGGTCTGTGACCAGGCCTCCTGGTGGATCAGAGCCTGATCAACCAGGCTGTTGCTGCTGGCTGCACGCAAACCAACGAACGAGCCACAGCCCAGCTGGTCAGGAACCGACTTCAGGTGCTTGTCCAGTGCCAGCTTGAAGACTGCCAGGGGTCTGTTGGTAATCCCCCTTATGTATGCTGGGAGGCAGTTGAACAGCCTCGGGCCCCTGACACTTATTGTATGGTCTCTTAACATGCTAGTGACACCCCTGCTTTTCATTGGGGGGATGTTGCATCGTCTGCCAAGTCTTTTGCTTTCGTAGTGAGTGATTTTCGTGTGCAAGTTCGGTACTAGTCCCTCTAGGATTTTCCAGGTGTATATAATCGTGTATCTCTCCCGCCTGCGTTCCAGGGAATACAGTTTTAGGAACCTCAAGCGCTCCCAGTAATTGAGGTGTTTTATCTCCGTTATGCGCGCCGTGAAGGTTCTCTGTACATTTTCTAGGTCAGCAATTTCACCTGCCTTGAAAGGTGCTGCTAGTGTGCAGCAATATTCCAGCCTAGATAGAACAAGTTCTATGAGGTTTGGCAGGATGTGGGTGTTTGGCCCTCCTTCAAGAGGAATTGTTATTTTGAGGTGAATCTCTGTCAACTGAGGATCCTTGCTAAATTTCACAACCTAGTTTTTTCAGGGAAATCTCAGCTCTATGAGCAGTCATGTGACGACTTTCCTGCAGCAGCTGACCTCTCTAACCAGAGATATGGGGTAATGATCGTCAAAAACTAATTACTATATCAGAAGCATTTGGGACTGAGGGAAGCTCATCAAATTTCATTTTCAATAATGAATTTGTTTTCAAATCAATAAGTTCCATTTGTATGTTACTAGGCATTTTCAGGATTTTTTTGTTCACCGAGTGAAAATGGTTTTATAAATGCGAGTATGCAGTCTTCTTTTAGCAAAATCACTAAAACAACTTTCAAATGACTCTTGCAATAATCTGATTTATTAATATAGTATTCTATAAAATTTCCATTATCTTCAGCACATACACTGTTTTTTTTTTTCAAATGTAGAAACTGGCTCAAATCCTCATTTTTCTAATTGAGAGGTAAACAGTTTTATCTTCATTTGTTCTTGCCCTGCAGTTTCAAATTTAGATCATTGAGATGGCTAATAACATCAACTAAAAATGTTAAATCAAATAGCTATAATGCTATTTGTTATCACATAAAAGGTCTCTTTCCTCAGGCAGCTCATTCTTCTCTTCCAGAAAATTATGAACACTCAGTTTCCAGAATCTACTGAGAACCTGTCCTTTAGAAAGCCAGTGCACCTCACAATGAAGGATGAGATCACCATATTCAAAATCTAACAATTCATAAAATCTGCTTTTTTTTATTTTTTTTTATTCGCGGGTATTCTCCCGGCCCGGGTCTTTTCCAAGTAGTGGTGACCCGGCCTTGGCTCCCTATCTGGGGAGTGTCTCGAGACCTAAGTCTCCCATGGGAGGAGATACAAGTACCCCCTCATCTTTGGGACCAACTGTCCCCAGGCCTAGCCACAGTCCCCGCCCTCACGGGGCTCGTAGGGAGAAGCTAGGCCTCTGGTCTGCCATCTGCCCCGCCCCAAAGGGGCTCGTGGGGATGGCAGTCTTATATATAAAATCTGCTGATATATGTGATGCAGCCCAGTTAATAAAAATTTTATGTTGCAAACTTGCAATTGTTAATAAAACACACCAAAACAATTTTTTAAATTTAATATACAAACAGACAATATAAAAAACATAAATGGAACTTGTATCAAAACATTTTTTAATTGTTACAAAAATATAAAAAGGAAGCAAATATCAACAATGCCAAATTGCAAAGTGATGCAAGTTTCAATCCCTATATTCCTGAGATTCATTTGGAAGACCAATGATTCTATATTGCTAAATGGAAAGATGGAAGTCTGAGAAACAATTTCTATCAGTCTTTATGCACAGATTTACTTTGCATACACACACACGAAGACGATGTTACCGTTTTTTTTCGTGTTGCTGCAAAAACTTGCAAGTAAACGTGCCTTTGCCCTGCCATTTGGGAAGTGCATTAGACTAAGGGCTTTCCTAACACTGTCATCAGGCATTTCTGTACGTTTTTCCCCTCCCAGGTTCACTATGCCAACACCATTGGAAGTACATGGGGAATTAGTTGGTGAAGGTCTTGGAGTTGTTCTTAGGATGCTGCCTCTAAGGTTTTGTCCTTTAGACCTTGCAATTTCAGAGATACCCAATTCCTGAAATACTTCAGTTGCATACCCCTTTTGCTTTATTGCTCGAGAACACGGCAATAAAGCAGCCATGCATTCACAACAGCAAGATCAAGAATATAGGCAAATAGCCGCATGTACCAACGTTTTGATTTCATTTGGGGTTTTGTAGAGATGCACCAAAATGTTGCTTTTGTCAATACCTCCCATGTTTGCATTATAGTTCTTGATGACTGCAGGGCACGATATTTTGGGCTTTCCTCTTTGTAACCCTGTTTATATCTGTCAACAAGACTCAAAAGGCTCGACCCAATATCATTGTCACAAAGTCACAACTTTGGTGTCCTTCCATCTTACAACAAGGACAACCATCATGTTGTTGAAGCAAAAATTGCCCCCGACCACAGTGTTCCTTTTCCCTTTGTTTTTATAGGCGCCAGATCTGGCTTACCACATCTATTGTCAAAGTAAATGTTCCAGTGTATCTGCAGTTATACTTATCTCTTAGTACTTGACCAAAGGTTTTACTTGAAAAGAAATTGCAGCATAGATTGCTGAGTGTTGGTCTTGTTCATATTTTGTGCAAGTACCAGAACAATCTTTGTACTTATTGGAAGTTAGATTCTTCCTGTGGAAGCTGTATGGGATGTGTGTCAAAAGTTGTTGTGCCTTATACATGAGTATATCATGTAGAGTCCATCTTGACTTGCACGACAAAAAAGTTTGAAACCCCACTTATCTGGTTTTGTTTTGATGTACGCCTTAGGTTTCCAGCAGTTTTCACCCTTGAAACCAACCATGACTTCATCAATAGATTGCTTGGGTGTAGCTGGAATTTTCAAGCAAGCATTAGTTTTGTCAGTGTAAAGAGGCCTTACTTTGTAGAATCTGTCATATCCTTTTTGTGTTGTCATTGAAATGAATATGACTTCTAAGGGACCTAAACCTCTTAGACGCCATGCTATCTACAACCTGGGATCCTAAAAGCAGCTTTCCAATAGTCTTCGAAAGGGGTGGTAGTGAAGCAATACCCATGAACAACAAAAACCTATGAACCTCAAGATCTTTTCAGAATCTGTTGAAAAAGTACTATTTAAATCTTTTTCCTTGCATACAAATTTGTTTGATATGCTATGTTATCTATCATGGCTGGAGTAACGAACATACGAAAAAAACTCATATGGAGACCTAATTGCAAGAGGCTTTTCATGTTCATAATGCCGGCAAAGGATCATTTTGAAGTCATCTACAGTCCACTGAGATTGAAACTTGAAAAAGCAATATTCTCATGGATCCTTCCTCAACCGGGTATTCCTCAATCCTAAAAGTTTTCTTTTTCCTCATTACTTTTCTGCTTTTTTGGCTGGCCTTTCTTCCCTTTCTTCCTCCTCATCATCACTTGACATCTCTGCATCCTGTGCATCC